CAAACAAATAAATTTAATATTCTTTATGTGCTAATATTATTTTTATGCAGAAATTTATTATGAGAATTTAATGAAGAATTGAAGTTCCTTACATCCAAATGATTTTTACTTGAAGACCATGAAGATTAAATGAAAATTATTTTTCTATTGGTTAGTATTATAATTTAAAGTCTTAGGAAATTTATTGTAGGATAGAAGAGTAAATAATTTTATAAGCACAAATCGTATTTTTATCTCTCTCAAATTTTTGAAATATTTTGTTGAATAAATTTATTAGAGGATATAGCCAAATTTTTTACTTCTTCACGTTTTTCCATCTAAAAATACTTGCGAGTAAATATTCCTTGTAGCTACTGAAATGGAAATTCTGTAAAACAGTATTTTCTGATGTAAAAAAGCAGTTTTCTGATTTAATTCACAGCTGCTCTTGTTTCAAAAAGCAGTTTCTGATTTAATACAGCTGTCTGTTTCTGATACAGCTGGCTGTTTCTGATATAAATGTTACACTGTTTTCTAAACTGAACTTTTCACCTCCAAACCTTGCATGTGTAAATACTAAATGTGGTCAAACAGCCCTTTTAATTGCAACCCATGCATTGCCTCGTTAGTTTAAAAAACATTAGAAACTTCATTGCTCATTAAAGCAATAATCTCAACATTAACTTCAAAAGAGAATATCATCTTTTCATATAAAATCCATTTCCTCTTGTAAAAAGAATGAGGTTTTTGCAAAAGAGTATGAGTCTATTGTTTAAAGTTTAAATCTCTCTCTTCAATCCCCCTATTTCTTTTCGTCTCTTTGATTCAAGAAAATTTTGTAAGAGAAAAGAAAATTTATTAATAACATTTTTTGAAGAACAGTTCTGATCTTTAAATCTGTTTTCTAAATTCATTTTCTATTCTTCCTGTGCTTTTATTTGCATTTCTCTCTGTCTAAATAGATTCTGTAATATGTTGTAGACAGGCTCTTTATTTAAAAAACTTTTGTGTAATAGCTTAGATGAAAAGCTATGGTGTAATAGGTTATCAAGCGACCTTCTCCTTGTGTGAGATTCTAATGTCTTTTTGTAGTTTCTATCCTAGCAAAAACAGGAAAGGTGAGGTTGACCTTCAGAACCTTTGAAAAATCTAAGACTCGGGAATCCCATTAGAAACGGTTTGGAAGATTCTAGGTGTTGACTCTTACTTTCCTTGTGTATGGTTGGTTCCTGTCTCTTACCCTTACAAAGAAAGTAACATTAGTGGAGGACTAAGCGCTCAACATGCGTATCAACTTGGGGAGTGGATGTAGGCGACGTTAGTGGCCGAACCACTATAAATCTCTGTGTTTATCTTCTTTTACCTTTCTAAAAGTTTTGCTTGATTATATTCATTGTACGCAACTGTTAAAGTCTTCTCTTAGAAATGCCCAAAGTTGTTATGATGAGTTTCTGATTCTAATCGTGAATAAAGCTTTTACTCTGTCGGAACATTAGAACTCTGGGGATTTCTACTTTTGTGATTATTACCAAGTTCTAATCTGTCCTTCGATATTTCAGTGTAATCAACCAATATGATTATAATCAGTTTTCTAAATTTGCTTAAAAACTTTGTGAAAGCCTGTTCTAATCGCAATAAGCTGGTTCTCACAGAGTCTTTCTAAAAATAACAATAAACGTTTGTGAAGCTGTTTCTAATCGCAATAGCTGTTCTTCACAGGAGTCTTTTCTTAAAAATTTGGGGGTGCGCCTAAAAGCCTTTTTTGTGAAGCTTGTTCTTAATCGCAATAGTTGTTCTTCAAGAGTCTTTCTAAAACTTACTTAAGCTTGTGAAGCAGTTCGTAAATACAAAATTTTTCTTTCATCAAATCTAAATCTGCAATAGCTGGAGGAAGATTCTAACACTGTATAACATAACTCTCTCAAAACTGCTTCTCTCTAATTTCTCTTTCTAAAATTACTTAAGCTTTGTGAAGCAGTTCTAAATACAATAATTTTTCTTCACAGAGTCTTTCTAATCTTGCAATAAGCTTTGTGAGGAAGATCTAAACTTGATAACTAACTCTCTCAAATGCTTTCTAATTCTGCTGCAATAGAATTCTGAATTTTGTTTTTCAAAGTTAAATTTTTAGAAAACCCAATTCACCCCCCTCTTGGGTTGTGCCATACATAAACGGGACCCACAATTTAATTAGTGGATCATAAAAATAGTAATAAAATATATTAATTAAATAATTATAATTTAAAATATTTACTACTTTTATTCTAAATACCTACCACATTTAATAAAGTATTATGTTTCAAAATACTTGAAACATTTGTTATTTTAAGGAGTGATAAATTTCTTGTTTCATATTTATCTTTTGTATATGATTAACAATTATTGTTTCGATTCCTCAAAAATTTAGTGTTTTGATATATTAAATTAAGGGTAATATAATCAATTTACTTAATTATTTATTGTAGATTAGACAAATTTAATGGTTTTCTTGAGGAACGTGAAATTCTAAATGTGACAAGTATTTAGGAACAGAGATCGTATAATATATTAAAAAAATTAAAAATATCAAGAACCAGTGTCAATCGGGTCTGTACAGGTCAATTGGTTCAATTCGGCTCTCTTCCTTAAATGGTTCTATTCAAAAGCAAAATCGCCGGTTCACTTATTCTTTGGATTATCCACCGGATTGTGCCGGGTTTAATAATTATAGTTTAAAGACAAACCACTTATGGAAGAGGATCTGTACCCTGAACTATCAAAAATCGCCTAAATTAATTCGAATTGGTTTGAAATTGTAGTTTTAAAAAGTTCATGACTTAGTTTGATTTATAAAATTTTGAAAACCAATCATTAATTCGATTTAATATGATTTTAAGATCAAAACTAGGCAAGCACAAATCGATTAAAACTGAAAAGTCAAATCGAATCAATTTAGTCTGATTTTTTTATTTGATTGATCGAGTTAATTAACTTGGTTTGATTTGTAATATCAAGTAATTTTAATTTTTGATTTTATTATTTTGAAACTAAATCAGTTATATACTCTTAATTAAAGTTACTAAAATCAAGTCGAATCAAACCACTTTTTTTTAAAAAAAAAAAAAAAATTGGAATCAAACCAAGAACAAAAATATTTTACGGATAAGACTTGGTATATGTGAAAAAAATCGAGAGCTGGGCTTGTAATTGATTTAAAATGTAGTTGGACTACAATTTTGATTTTTATTCAAATGCAATGATGTTGAAATAATCAAAGCATCAAAACCTTCGATAAAATTAATGTAAGTCATAGTCAGTCCGCGGGTTCCATAAAGATAAACTTATTTATTTATTTATTTTAAATTTATTTTCTCTTTCAAAAATACAATTAATTTTTTAATATACCTTTATTTATTATTCCAGTGTTAGAACTACACGAAGCGTGGAGTAATATTAAATAATAAAATAATATTTTATAACATCATTTAAAAAAAATAAAATTATATAATAAAATGATCGTGAAATGTATTACAAAATTGTATATCATTGAGAGATGCAGGAAAAGTTGCAATGTTAACATATACCTTAAATATCTTGAAAAACTTTTCATCAAGATATGCATAACAAAAGTTATGCACTGTATGACCTGAATCAAAAAATGCACACACACTATTAATGTATTTTTCAATAGCGATAATAATATTTAACTAATTATATTGAAATAAGAAATTTTTTTCAATAGCTGATATAGTAATATTTAACTAATTATATTGAAATAAGAACTAATTATATTGAAATAAGAAATTAAGTACTTTATTATTTCAAGTTTATAATTTATTATAAATGATTATTTATTTATGATTGTTCCCGTATCTCTTGTGTCTGTATTCGTATAACCTAACTCCTGATATGTGAAACTACTCCATACGCCAAGCTAATCAACTAAATATTTTTTTCTTATTACCAAGAAAAAATAAAGTGTTTTTTTTTTTTAAATTACTTTTGTGTCTTTTTTTACCAACTAAATAAATTAGCTAAACACTCTAAGCATAGAAAAAAAAGTCAATAATCCAAAAAATTAAGCACATGGAGAGAGAGAGAGAGAGAGAGAGAGAGAGAGAGAGAGAGAGAGAGAGAGGAGAGAGAGAGAGAGAGGACAAAAACAAAAGTAGACAACAATGAAAGGAGATATATTAACCATTTAATAGCAATATCATAATTGAAGTTCCCCTTCCAAAATAACACAATAGGCTCCTTAAAGAACAACAAAGCAAAAGTTCAAGACAATACATAAAACAAGAAACAACAGGAAATCAAATCCCACATGACAGGGTTTGAGAAGGTACCCATGGCTTCTTTTATTTACACCAAACATGGATTATTACACATAATTCAACTGATTAACCATAAAAGGCCAAGACTAATAACTGCTTTGTTGGAGCCTTTTCCCTTCTGGTTTCTCATTAGCAGTTGCGTTGCATGGATCACAGCTGCAGTTTGATCCACACTTGCAGCCATGACCACCCTCAGCTCCAAAGCTCATCTCAGAACTCTCATTCAACCTGCAAAAGCTCAATTTCCTCTTCTTTATGTTCAAATTTTATAAAAATAATCTATTTATTTGTTTTTCATGAAAATTTGAACCTAACAATGAAATTTGGATTAGCAGCACGGAAACGGAAATGAAGAAATGCGGAACCAGGAAACAAAACGGGGATTTTAACAGAGAAACAAAACGGGGATTTTAACAGAGAAATGAAGGAAAACTTTTCTGAAATGCGGAAATGCCCATGACTAGGAGTTTCTGTGCATCATAATTCAATTCAGTAGTATTAAAATTATGTTTGAAGTTGAACCATGAGATTTTGGAGTTTGCATAATTTAAACAAAAGGAATAATATTTAAGACATACTTCTTGGAGGGTGCAACTCCTGCAATGAGGGTCTCAGTTCCTGCAATGAGGGTCTCAGTTCTGGTGCTCTCTGAAATGTCAGGGTACATGCCACATCTGCAACAACAAGGAAAAAATTATGAGTTCTAAACCCATCAATTTGCAAATTGGTATCTCAATTCATGAATTATATGAAATTATAGATTGTTCTAAAAGAAAATTATTAAATAGGACTACAATCAAATCCGGTTTGTTCGGCTCAATATGGTTTTTTAGTTATTTTTGGGCGCTTTTGGTTTAGTTTATGCTTAACGAAAGCAGAATCGAATAGAAAACATTTCGATTTTTCTGTTAAAACCATAGCTAACTAAATATATTAGAAAGCAAATTGAACTGATTTGATTTGATTTGATTCAATGGGTTTTACTAAATATATTAATAAAAGAAATTATATTTTTTAATTTTTCTTTACTGAAAATATGGTATTTCATATATATCAACTTCATATAAAATACTCAAAAGGTGTTTAAGGGAATCCAAGAAAAGAAAAAGGCAGGTAAAAAGAAAAACAAGATTAGAACAATAATCTTTCTACAAGATTAGACAAGGAAATGATTAAAGAGAGAATAAAAAAACAAGATTAGAACAATAATCTTTCTACAAGATTAGACAAGGAAATGATTAAAGAGAGATCAGAAAGGACAAGAATTTTACCCTTTGCAGCTGCTGCCGCAGCCGCAGCCAGAACCGCAGCCACAGTTTCCTCCGCAGCAAGACATTTTCTTCTGTTTTAGTGTTTTGGGCTTTAGGATTTTGAAGAGGTTTTAGTTTGGGAATTTGATTGCTCAAAACACTTCAAGGATTGGTTTTAAGTTGCATTATTTCACTCCTATTTATAGAGTAGTAGTGGAAAAAGTTATTTCATATCCACCGTACACGTGGATATATTTAAGGTCACTTAACGTGTGATAGGGAATGAATGATTGCATTGTTCTTTCCGTCTCTCTCTATCCAAGTAATACCAACAAATCTCTTTATTTATCTTCTCCTCGTCATCGTAATTAATATTAATATAACTATGTACGCTGATGTGGAAATTTAAAAATCACAATTGAAATCACAATTTGATCATCTAAAATTCTCTGAATAATTGAGAATTTCCTAGGCAATGTAAAAGAAAAGAAAAATTCTATTGGATTAATAATTAAGACATATTTGAATACGCATAAATAGATTGTATTTATTTAAAAAACTTGTCTATATTGGATTCATGATACTGCTTAGGATCAAATCAATGTATTTTCTTTTTTAAGTATATGGTCAAAAATAACGTTTGTTTCACTAAAATTTTTTAATTCCATCGGTCTGGTCCATGAGTAGGAACATAAATTCAGTCTAAATAAAATTTTTTCTTATACTTATAGGCGAACTTTACTTATAGTCCATGAGTAGGAACATAAATTCAGTCTAAATAAAATTTTTTCTTATACTTATAGGCGAACTTTACTTATAAAATTAGGCTCAAGTAAAAACAGTGTATATATATATATATACTTTTAGATTTAAAAATTTAAGCATTTTGTCTATTTTAGACTTAATTTCATTCGCGATTAATGAACTTGTACATTTATAATTTTATCGTACTTCAATTTGTCAAAGATTAGAGACAACAGGTGAAATTAAATCTGTATTTTAGTTTAGAAATATTAGTTTTTGGATGGGTGATTCTTAAAATTCATTGCAAATGAGAAATTAAACTTATAATTAGAATTAGCTCAATAATAAAAATTGTATTTTACAAAGTAGACTTCAAACCCTTGATGATATCATATGATTAATATCCACTTAAAGAAAAAAGTCATACTTACCCACTAGACAAAGTGGTCTACATCAAAGTGAAACAATCCTCCATTTGTTTAAGGATTTAAATCAATTTTCATGTGACAAATCAACAACAACAAAAAAAAAAGATTTAGTAAAGGATACATCAAAACTATTATATTAGGGAAAGAAGATGTCCAGTCCATCAATTGTGGAAATATCGAAATGAAAATGATTTCTTAGCTCACATTAGAATCATCTAAAATATTATTAATTAAAGATCGGTTAAATACATGAATTTATTTTTAAATTTTTTAATTTTAACTGACATTTTCAATTTTGTGAATAACTTACTGTATATTTGATCTTTAAATTTCAATAACATTATATATATTTTTATAATAACAATAATAGCTTTTTGGGTTTTTAAATTTTATGTCTCAATATAGTTTCGATGGATTATTTTTGAAGCAATAATTTTCACATTTTCAACTATTTGATAAGTATTTAATTGATTTGATCCATTGAGTTGAAGCGTTTAATAAAATAATTTTTGCAAATTAAAATAATTTTATGAATTAAAATATTTGATGGATAAAAATAAAAGATTAAAATTAATATAAAATTAAAATAACAAAGTTGAATTTTTCAATGACTGAAGATTGTTTTAAAAGAATTAGGCTTTCAGCTTAATAATGCATGAATCTTGCCGTTTTGTGGATAAATCTCTGCAAACAGCGACGTGATAACGCGACAATTTTGTTTTTTTGTTTTCTTGTTGACAATTTTGATATACCATTTCTATGTTTAACAAGTCATTGTCTCTTCATTAAACAAGTCTTATCCTTCTCTTGTGGGCCTCCAAGAAATGTTGTTGGGTAGGTGAATTTTATTCTAAAAATTTACTATTTTAATTTTTAATTAATGTTTATTTCAATACAGCTGGTTTCTTTTGTCCTCATCTTATTATTATTTTTTTGTCCTCATCTTATTGATTTTTTTTTTTTTTTTTTTTTTTTTTTGTCCTATCTTATTAGATTTTGTTTTTTTTTTGTTTTTTTTTTGACAAAAGGAAAGTATCATTGCATCCCTGCAAGAGGAATGAAGAAGCATTAACCAAAGAGCCGGTTAATACCCTTTCCACAACTGATTTCCCTAAACTAGGCCGAAAATATTGCGTTGTTTGCGAATTATTCTATTATTTTTTTTTTTTTTTTTTTTTTTTTGAAAAAGGAAAGTATCTTCATCCCTGCAAGAGGAATAAGAAGCATTAACCAAAGAGCCGGTTAATACCCTTCCACACTTGATTTCCCTAACTAGGCGAAATATTGCGTGTTGCGAATTATTCTATTTATTATATATTATTTTTTATTTTGAAAATACTTTTATTTATATCTCTATACTAAATGAATAATAAAAATAACTTTTCTTTTCTTTTCATTTCTTTTTCATTTAGCTCCTTCAAGATATATATATATATTTTACTCGATCCATGACTTGGTGTATGCTATGGGTCCCTTAATGTCTCCACGGGATAAATACATAAATTATTAATAATTATTTTTTTAATTTTTAGCCAACCAAAATCATGAAATCATTTTAAAAAATTATCAATAAAATTATATTTCTTAATAGAAAGAATAAGATTTGAATTAAATAAGATATCAATGTAACTAATCAAATTCGAAATATTTAAAAATAATAATTTTTTATTTTATTTTTTGCCAATTAAATTAGAGTACAATTTATAATTAAAAAAAATTAACCATGCCATTTTTAAATCAAATTCTGAATTATCTAGATATATTAATTTAAAATAAATTTAAAAAATATAAAAATTTTCAAATGCTTCATATTTATATATATTGATTTAAAATAATAACATTGAAGTTAAATTATGATAATAGTAAATAAATAATAATAATAATAATAAATTATTAAAATTATAAATTATTTTTTTGAAAGGATTAAGTTGTTATTAATAATTTATATAATAATATAATGAAACAAAACATAAATAGACATAATAAGATAATAATAGTAAAATTTTAAGTTTTGAAATGCTTAATTATCTCTATGTATTTATCTATTAAAAAAAAAAAGTTAAAAGCACATCCAATTAGATTATAGAGATATTATATATATTTTTATGTAAAAAATTTTTAATCGGCTATGACTAATGTTATTTTAAAATATCTTAAATTTCATAAGGATAATATCTTAAAAATAATACTCATATTTTTTTTTAAGAAAAACAATTATCAAATTTATTTATTACTATAACTCAAATAACGTTTAAATTTTAGTAAACTAATTTTAGTATCACTTAAATAAGTAGATCCACTTATTAACTGAGAGATTATTAATATTTATTTCAAATAAAATTTATTAAAATAGAAAGATACACCCCCTTGGATAAGTTTTGGCTGTCCAATGTGCTCAAGAATTAATTAATTTAGTTTATAATTATGAGATTTTTTTTATTAGTTAATGCATGAATATATTATTAGTTGTTCCTCTCATTTATACGAGAGTGAGAGGTCTTGAGTTCGAGTCCTCTCGACCAGAGTTATTTTCACTAATTCGGTGAGTTAAGGAGAGGGTTACCCCTGTTGTGTATAGTCCGTAGTATTATTACGGACCATAAAAGCCTCCAGTAAATTAAAATTGCATGAATATATTACTAAGTTAATGCTAAAGAGAAAACACTTGCCTATACCGGATTTATAGTCCCACCTACGGACCAAAACAAAGAAAATTAGAATTTTTTAAACATTGTTTACACTTTATTTTTTTTCCCCAATATATAATCGGAAATATCACTGTTCTAATAAAAAATTTTATTTTCATTTATTTGGTTTATAAATAAGGAAATGAATTCGGTCAGAAGAAGTTTATCCCATATCAAATATGTATTGTTGAGATTACCTAAACAGAAAATTTAATCTCATGCACATTTATATTGATCCAATAATAATACATTTACCAAAGAAAAGTGAAGAATTCATCTGAGCCATGGTTAATCATTGCAAGAGACAAAAGTAAATAACGCAAGTAATTGCATGGGAAAGTAAAAAGTAAATAATGCTGAAGGTGTTACATTTTTGTTTTTGGGGGGTAAGAAATGGAGTAGTTACTTTACTTTACCATTTCAGTACACTTTACAGCTTTACAGCTAAACGATGTTTACAAATCACCAATTCAGTGAAACGACAGTACAATTATTCAACTGAGAAGGGAAAAATAAGTAGTGTGTGATAGGTTTTTCCTACAAGTACAAAAGAAAGAAAGGTAAAGGCCGCCAGGGCCCACATGCAAATATGAGAGGCCTTTGGTTTGGTTTGGGAATCCACTATTCTTGCAAAAAGAATGGTGCATGTGATCTTGTTTTGGTATTTCATTTTCGGTGCTGTTTTTTCAATCACTAGTCAAACACCGCTCTTTATCTTCCACAAAACATACTTTTCTTTTCTTTTCATTTCCCTTTTCATTTCCTTTTCATTTAGCTCCTTCAATATATATATATTTTACTCGATCCATGACTTGGTGTATGCTATGGGTCCCTAAATGTCTCCACGGGACAAATACATATATTCATCCCTTTGAGCTGTAATGCACTTTAATGAAATTTATAATATTGCATTAATACCTTCTTGAATTCTAAAACCATCATCCGACTAGTTTTGGGTTGGAGTCATGGGTGACCCATTTGGCTGCTGGTATACTACCGTAATGAAACTGCCGAATGAGAAGTAAGAGAAGTTTCACTTCGAGAACCAATAGATTGCCTTGTCCTTAATAAGTTTGAAATTTATGTAATTGCTGTCAAATATATAAATTCACTCATGAATTTTATAATTTTAATTCTGTGACACCGTGAACTTTATAAATGACCACTCGTGTACTTAAACTTGCGAATTTTGAAAATATTACACACTTTTCCGCAATAAAAATAATATTTTTTAGGATTTTTGCTTTTATATACAAAATATTAATTTGATATGTAGCTAACGTAACTCTTGAACAATAGTTTTCATAATTTTCAATTATTTAATAGGTATTTAATCGATATAATTTTGTAAGTTAAAGTGTTCTATAAAATGATTTTATAAACTGAAGTGTTTAATAAATATAATTTTATAAATTAAAATATTTAATAGATTAGAGTAGAAATTGAAAATACTATCATACTAAAATAATAAAATTCACGTGTAAATTTATATATTCAGCCTGCCTCGAAGTAAACAGTAAAAGCCATGCTTATAACTATACCCTAGTGAGCCTATATCTCCATCGATAATATTATATTAATATAGATTTCCCACTTCTGGTGGGTCTTGAATTTCCGCTATCCTTTGATTGTGGTGTTTGCTTTTTGTTTTGAATTATTCTCTCTTGAAATTTCAGCATCTTTTAGACTTCATTTTCCTCTTTTTCCCCTCCTCCTGCTACAAAAGGAGACATTTGACTCCATTTCATAATCCAATCATTCTATAAGATTTGACTCCAATTGATTTTAAATTGATGATTCAACCTTCACCTCTCCTTAGTGCATATATTATAAAGTATACGATCCTTCCTGTCTTGGTAGGTATTAATAATAATATAAGAATTTTAATTAGGTTTGGAAATTTTTTTGAGCCTTCCTTTAGAAATTGACGGCCAAAATTTCACTTTTTGGACGGAAATCTTAATTTGAGACTGAAGCATAATTAATAACTATATGCAATTATTTCTTAAAAGTAGAATAACCTATATATTAAATTTGCTATACTTTACGGGCCAAAAAATTAAATGAACTTTTGTAATAAAACTTTTAATTTATGGGCTAAATTAAAATTTTATTTCTATTACTTGTATCCGCTCGGTGACATAACTTTTAGAAGTTAAATGAACTTTTTATAAAACGTTAAACAGTATAACATTTAGCTTTTAATTAAATTTTTTTGACAATAATAATACTCATTGTTTTTCCCTTTCAATTCAACTAATTAAACAACTGATTTTCGTTTTTTATCATTTTAAATGAAACAATTATTTTTATAACATTTTTAATTTAAATCACTATATAAATATGTACCAGCTAAAAGCTAACAGTTATTACAACACTTAACAGCTACTAAAATAGCTAATACTGTGAAACATACCCTAAATGAATTAAAGAGCTAAGGCGGCAGCGAGATTATCTCACTAACTTTAGTTTAAAATAAAAAGTAAAAACCATAAAATCCTAATTGACTTAATAAAAAATGATATATATAGATATATAAATGATAAGTATGCATCTTCTTCTTCTTCTTTTTTTTTTTTTTTTTTTTTTTTTTTTTTTCTGCCTGAAACATACCCTAAATGAATTAAAGCAGCTAAGCGCGACGGCAGCGAGATTATCTCGACTAACTTTAGTTTAAAACTAAAAAGTAAAAACCATAAAATCCTATGAATCTAATAAAAAATGAATTATATATAGATATTTTATAAATGAATAAGTATGCATCTTCTTCATTCTTCTTTTTTTCTCTTTTTTTTTTTTTTCTTTTTATTGGAAGGCCCCAAATATACTAGATAGCAATATAATGGCTTAGTGTTATAACATGAGTTTCGTTTCTCTTGACTCATTCAAAATAGGTGAAAAATTTTCTGATCGAAAGGGATTTAAATTCGAAACTATTTTAAATCTTTCATATTAGTGAGGACCCAATAAATCACAACCTGAATTCGATTGCTGAGTACATTTAATCAAACTTTGAAATTGAAGTCAAATTCCAAAAGGAAAGAAACATGAAATAAGAAAACAACTTTTGTAACTTAATATATAATATATGATATTATACTATAATATAATTTATAATTTATATTCCTTTATTGCGATATATATATTCCTTTATTGCGATTCAAATGGAAAATTAAAAAAAATATATGTATCAGTTTTCGAAATTATGGATTTTAAATTTTTAATATTTTTATTTTATGATTTATTTTTTCAAGTCTAAAAAATAAATGGCATTTTTTACAAGAAATTAATTAGTATTTGTGAATTTATTAAATTTTAAAATAAAAAGATAATTATGAGAAACTATTATAGCCTATATTTATGCAAAATACCACATCATATCTCTCAAAAAATTCATTAAAATCTTATAACAAAAAGAAAAAAAAAAATCAAACCAAAAGTAAAATTAACTTGCTGGTTAGAGTTCAATTCTGAAGTTGGAAGTGAAAAGACTATACTCTCCAACAAACACAGCAATGGTTCAAAGTACCCATGAAATGTATCCAATAAGCATAATATGAAATAAATTGGCATTTACAAGCAGATTTGAACCAAGTTTTGCAGGAAATAAAATTCCCCATATTCAAATTTAAGCTTGTTACAAGAATTCTTTCCCAGGGCCAAGGGAACAAAATGACCAATTCAGAAAAAACAGTGAACCTAAAAAAATCAGATAAAAACAACTTGATGGACATTTTTGACGGGAAGAACTAGCCAACCCAAGACAAATCACATACAATGAGCATCAAGCAAATTGGAGAACAGATTCTATACAATGAGCATCAAGCAAATTGGAGAACAGATTCTTTTTTGCTTACTTTAATTATCTAAAAATAAAATAAAATAAAAGGAATACTTTCACAAATTCAAAATCAAACTTTCTACAAGCCAAGTGGAAAATATGCAAAAAAAAAAAAAAAAAAAAAAAACTTTAGAAAAAAAAAAAAAAAAAAAAAATCCTCTTAGCTGGAATTCATTGCCGCGAATTTTTTTGATTGGGAACTGATATTTACAACTTTTTTACAAATGGATTCCTTTAGAATTCAATTCTAGAAATTTAATTTCATAAAATTCTATATAACTAAACTAAAACCTATTCAAATTGGTGAAATTTTCAAATGAATCATACAAAATTAAATCACCTAAATTGATATTGACTACATTGCCTCGTCATTTTATTAAAAATGCGTAGCCCTATCTTCAGCTGCTCATATCTGAACTGTCATTATCAGATACATTATTGGTTTTTTACGAAACATTAAACACTCTAATGTTGCCCAACAGACCTTAAAAATAACAGCTTTTTAATTGCCATATTAAACTGACAGAAGCAGTTTTGGTTGCTTTGAACCTCATGAGCAAGAAAAGAGGAGTCTTCTTTTTCATAGAGAAATAGAAATAAAGAGAGACTAATTGTTGTCTTCTTTATTCTTTATTACATGTATTGAATTAATTCAATATTTCCTCTATTGATTTGCTTAATCTTTTCTCCTGTTTTTCATAAACGGATTTTAATTCTTTTACAAGTTTATAGGGAAAAATTGAAGAAAGGGGTTGGGCCCTTCTTGGGGTTGTGGTTATAGAATTTTTTTATTAATGCTACGTAAAGATATCAAAATTTACAGATTATTGTTGGGATTATAACTGATCCCGAGTGGAGTCCGCGGAAAAATACCGATGGTAGAAGTAAAATAAAATTACTATTACCACATATACCTCCAATAATTACGTATTGGATGTTGATAGTCAAATCCACCATAAATAATAACCACAGTAAAAATTAAATAATTACCGTAAATGCCATCCAATAATTACGTATTGGATGTTGATAGTCAAATCCACCATAAATAATAACCACAGTAAAAATTAAATAATTACCGTAAATGCCAGATGAAAATTAAGGACACCGAGATTTACGTTGTTCACACTTCAACTGTTATGGGCTATGTCCACGGGACAAAAATTCCGAATAATTCTTCCACTAAAAATAGTAGGTACAAAAGAGATTACAAAAAATAGTGGTACCTTAAGTATTTCCCAAAAACACAAAAAAAAATTATAATCTTCACTATTTTCTCTCTTTCCCAATTTTAGGAATCTATTCCTAAAATTCTATATACTTTATGTATTTCTATTCTTTTTATTTTTGTACATTTTGGTTTAGGAAATCTTATCCCATTTATAGGAGAAGGGGACGCATAATTATCGTGTCCACAAACTGATGCGTTAATTAATTCGTCCATTCTCTCTATTTTTTCTTCGTTCAAACGTGTATGGGTTCCATACATTTGAATCTCCTTTTTTTTCTTTGACTTAAAAAAATGTTGTGTTTTCAACGTGTATGCGGGTCCCACACGTCGGAGGGACCCCCAAAACAATTATTATGTATCAGTAATATGTTTTTATGGTTCTTTGCACAGAAAAGTCTCGTTTGTGGATCAACGAAAAGAAAATCCATTTGGCATTTAAAATTAACGCTTGAAATCGAACTCGATCGATGAAATAATCTCTAGACTGCCAAGAAAATTGGGCACCAGAACTGTGTTTTTCTGAGTCTTTATTGGTGTTTTTCATTTTCTGTATACGTGTGATACGAAATAATATCGATTCCTTTAATCAAGATGGAAAGAAGTTGTTTAATAAGTAAAAATCATTCTTCTTTGTTTTCTAAATATTAATGACAGTAGGTCTTATGAGAAAATTAAAGAAAGTAGAGAATTTGCTGGGAAATTTTATTAAGGAATATATATAGTGCAATCTAATGCATGAAGCATGGGCTCTGGAAAGGATTGATGTATGCAGAAAGAATGTTTCCATGGCCCGAAACCATGATATCGAGGTCATAAAGTGGACCGTTACACGAAAGCGAGCCTTATATATATTATTAGGCCCCAACTATATAGAGGAAGGAAAACAACCAGAGAACAAAAGAAATTATGAAGGAGATGTAACGTATTGCCCTCTATTTGAAAGTAGATGTTGCAGCCTGGAGCTGAAAGAGAGACCTAATATAAGCATAATGTTTCTCTTTAGGAGGCAGGCATTCACTGACAAAATCAATTTGATGAAGCTTTTCCATCCATTTCCACACAACTGGAAATTTCTCTTCACTAATAAATTTTATTTGCAGTACTTCTTGACGGACTTGAAACCAATACACTATAAAAAATGCCACAATGTCTAAGTACCCAATAGTCTCACCTCCAAAGAATTCCTTTTCTTCTAGTTCCTTCTCAAGAATCTTTAGCTGCTCGCCAAGTTCTTCAAGAACCTGCTTTTTCTCTTCCCCTTTGGCCGCTTTGAACTTCGAAGCTATTTTCAAGATCTTCATAGTAGAATTTAGCGTTAGAACACATGAAGTGTGTGGATAATCCACATTTAGCCTAGTGTTTAAAAGGTCAGACCAATAAAATTGAATTCATATAAGTAAAATAATGTTTTTCCATTTATAAAAGTATGAAAATATGAATCAAAATCCGAATATTTTACAAAATGTTATGAATTTCATTTATACTAAGACCTTGTTGGGTAATAGCTTTTGTTAAAAAGTTAAAAGCTATTTTTTATAATGTTTGGTAACAGCATTTGAACTAATTTCTAGCAGGTTAGAGTAGCGTAATGTTAAGCTTTTAACGTTTTATGAAAAACTACTCAAACATCTAAATGCTACTCAAACAACTAACAACTACTAAAATATTTAATTTTGCCGAATAGACCCTAAATAAGGCCTTCGGCTTTTGCTAACCTTTTCATCAATGAATTTAGCCCAGAAACGCACCACGGCTCGATCATAGGGATCTTTAGGCAATATTGGATTATTTTGCCAAGTCTCCTCAATGTAGTCAAGAATGACAAGTGATTCTGAAATTGGTTTTCCATTGTGTATGAGTACAGGAACCTTTTTATGAACTGGATTTGATTGAAGAAGCAGAGGACTCTTATATTTTGCCAAGTCTCCTCAATGTAGTCAAGAATGACAAGTGATTCTGAAATTGGTTTTCCATTGTGTATGAGTACAGGAACCTTTTTATGAACTGGATTTGATTGAAGAAGCAGAGGACTCTTATTAAAGAGGTCTTCTTCTATGTAGTGATATTGTATCCCTTTTAGCTTTAGAGCTAATTCTATTCTATGACTAAATGGACTTGCCCATGCTCCAAGTAGCTTCACTTCTTCTGTCATTTTGGACTTTGGTGTAGATTTTAATTATCCAAGGCTTTTATAAAGGAAGTTTACTTCTGTGGCAAGGCAAAGTTTTTCTTGATAAGCAAGCCTATGACCTACTTGCATAATCCAAGTGGTTTCATTCAATATAATATCCAAAGTTGTTGAAATTTTGGTTTTTGAATTGTTGACTAACATAACCTATGTCATTCATGAACTCACCAATTTGTTAAAGATTTTGACTTATTCAATTGCTAATTTATAGAAAACACAAATTATTAAAGATACTACCTCTCTACTGTTAATTCGGACATATCTAAAGACACTTTAAGGATATTTCTAAGAATACTTTAGAGATATATTTGAAAAATTAAAATATATAATATCGTCAGAGATTAATTTGATTTTTTTTAAAAATATTGGTATTTTTTAAATTGTCGATCTATCTCTAAATAAATTAGAACTGTCCCGATTTTCAATATTAATGTTAATTTTGAGAATTTAATTAATTACATTAAAAAAATGAAGTATTTTTTATTTTATATTTATGATCTATTATAAATGGTTGTTCTTTTATTTAAATTATTAATAAATTATGCTCATTTAAATAGTGTGTCCTAAGCATTTTGGTGTTCTACTTTTTAAAAAATTGCAGTATCCGTGTGTGTTCTGTGTTGTAAATTATAATCTTTAGAGAACCATCTAAAGATTAAAGGCGCAAAGATTTCCCGAAGCCCAGGGACAAGGAACAAGCATGGCTTCGAAAATGTGAACGAGTTTGTTCCTCATTTTGCTATGAATCTGCAATGCATAATTATTCTAGTAAATATTGACTGTATATAACAAATCTGCAATGCATAATTATTCTAGTAAATATTGACTGTATATAACAATTGTAAGGTGCTTCAAAGTTCAGGATAAAAGAGTAAGTATTAACCTTTGAATTGGGTTTCTATTAATTTCTGTTTCTAGCTCTTGCTTACGTGTTTTCATGGCTTGTTTGTTCTTGAGAAGCTCAGCCATTGCCCACTCAACTGTTGTGGTAGTACTATCTACACCAGCACTGAATATTTCCTGCAGCAAAAATTGTATATGCCATTTTCGTGAAAAAAGAAATAAAAACTAAAATTGAGTTAACGTTATTGTGTGCATACCATAGCGAGCCAATTGATTTGATCATCATCAAAACCATTTGAAAGGAAAACATCTAAGAAATCTGTATTAGAAGCATTATGTGCATTTGCATATCTTTCTCTTCTTTCCCTGATATGAATTTCCCATAAGCCAAACATTTCTTTAAGACACTATGAGATTTCTCTTCTAATTCCTTGAGGATCTAACTCTGCAAATGTGGGATAAAAATCTGCCAAGTTAGGAGCAGCGCCTAACTCCATCATTCTCCACAGCAAACTTTTCAATTCTTGATTTTGCAAGCTAATAAAATCCTTAGAAAATAAAAGATTAGAAATTGTATTAAAAACCGTAGCAAACACATATGTCTCCAAGATTTACTACTTCTCCCTCTTTGCTACTTAAATATTCTATCATTTCTGTCATTTTCTTTTCCCTTAAAGCAGCTTGTGATTCAACTGCTTTGGCAGATTCTGTCATTTTCTTTTCCCTTAAAGCAGCTTGTGATTCAACTGCTTTGGCAGAGAAAAGCTCAGTCCTACACATGGCTCTGAAGGACTTTCGGTGATCATTGCATGTGGGATCCCAAACGAGAGATATGCGTTCAAGGACATGGCTTTTATGAGGAACCGCTTTTGGGACAGATCTTGCAGAAAGCAAACGATCATTATCTTTTAGAATTTCAATAGCTGCCTTGGATGAAGAGGCAACAATGACAATTTGAGTGCCTAGCCTAAGTGAAATTAAAGGGCCATGGACTTTGGCAATATTTGTCAATGAAATGTGTAGTTTTTTCCCAATATATATGAGGAATGTTGCCTACGATAGGCCAAGGCCTGGGGCCTGGTGGAAGAAGACGAGGTTTTGAGGGTAGAAAGCAGATTTGCTTGAGAACAATGAAAATAATAGGCAGGAAAACAAGAAAGTGAGAACAATGACAAAATAATAGGCAGCGAAAAACAAGAACAGGAAAGCGTACAAAGAGACTTGCAGGAAAGTGTTTGGATCATGCCGCAAAGAGGGACTTGAACTGAAAGAGACTTGAACTGGATTTGCAGAAAGTGCTTTGATGAGAGAGCTTTTTTGTCTCCAAGTATCAAATTGAGCTTTTGCTTGAAAAAGAACAAAGATCAGAAAATCACAGCCAAATTCATGCCATTGTCATTATTTATTTTGTTTGAAAAAACAAGGAGGAAGAAGGACCAAAACAATCACTCCACAAATACCTTGAATTGGCAAGCTGCTTGCCGTGATTATTTATATATATCGATTCAATGATTATGGTGCAGATATTTATATATTATTGAATAATTATTTATAAACAAATAAATAGAAAAATAAGTATAGTTATGCACTGAATTAATTTGTAAATTTTAAAAAAAACACACTCAATTAATAACTCAAATAACCTCTTCAATTTAACCTCTTTAATTAATAAATTTCTATTTTCTTAAAAAAAAAAAACCTCTTCAATATAAGAAATATATATGGAAAACTTTTTTCTTTTAACTAAATAAAAAATAAGAAAATAAGTAATTTCTTCGTCCCATAATATTTTTGTTCTGATTTGAGTTGCGGATTACGAAAACTTAGTTCAATAATTAAACTATAATTTTGCTTTTTTTTTTAATATGTATTCTTATATTAATATCTATTAATCTTAAATGATTCATATTAAATTGTTCTTAAAATTAATCAAACATTTGATTAAATAGAGTTTTCTTTAAAGATTAAAGGTTGTTATTTTAATTTTGTTTACATCCATATTTAATTAATGATAAAGTACTAGTTTTGACTATGTTCCATCGATTTTTTTATATAGACAAAATTTCTATTTTGTGTGTCCCAATTAAATTTAATTTGGACTATGGCCGAAGTGCAAAATCCAAATTGTCATTTGTTTGCTTTGTTATCAGCACCAACTTTTAGAAAACAAGAAAATGGCAAACATGATTGAGTTACCAATGCACAACTGTATTGTCCTTCTTTCTCTGTTTCAGCCAAATTGCACGTAGTTTTTAGGTTTTGTGCTTTCTATATTGTTGCATAATCTGCGTTTAAAACTTCTAACTATGACACACTTTTATTATATGGTCACATATTTCTCATGATCATATCATCGTGTTTAAGTAACATAAAAAAAATATATGCATATTGTAATAGATATTCCATTAGTTAAGAATGAAAAAGTTGTTATACGTCGGATTTGACATTATATAAGCACATTTTATCACAAATTACTTGTGCAAAAACAAATGACAAAAAAAGTGCATGTGTTATATATATAAGTCGGAAACTAAAGATTATTTAGCAAAATTTTTTGAATGCTATCTCTCCAAATGACAAGGCTTTGCTGCAAAAGGAATTACACATGTTCCTCCATTTTTGAATTTTATATAAGCATGTTTATCACTAAATGTCTTATTTCTTATGTGATATTCTTTCTTTTATATACTCCCTTATTGGTAGCTGCGATCATGCCAGAAGAACATTATATAGTCTTATCACTAAATGTCTTATTTCTTATGTGATATTCTTTCTTTTATATACTCCCTTATTGGTAGCTGCGATCATGCCAGAAGAACATTATATAGTCAGGTTGTTCATCATGATTCAGAATTAATGTGTTTTCTTCTGCATGTAAATCGATAAAGTCCAAAAGACCAATAGTTGGAATGAGCTATTTTCTAAAGTTGTGGGCGAATCAAGAAGTTACAGATGCAGATCAAAGGGATGTGAATCAATTGGTTGTAGGAAGTGAACTTTTGGCTTGAAGTGAACTTTTGGCTTTTTGTATTTTGTTCGTGCAAATTCTTAGATATGATTCTGATGTTATTTATATGTGGCCATTTGGGAGAAAATTGAGGAGATAATTGATATTATCAAAAATTTTGGCTCCAAAATCAAATTTGCACATACTATCTTTACCAAATGTGCACATTTTTAAAACAAAAATTAAACTTTTATTTTCCACCAATTTTTTTCCATAAAAATGGGAGGATAAAATTTAATCTAAGACACTATTAGATTATTAAGTTGATGTTATTTAGCAAAAAATTAGGTGCAATGTTTGCTGCAATCTGTCCTTTAATTATGGGTATAGGTCATTAAATGTGTTTATGGAGGCTTAACCTATAAAAAAATTCTGACTTATGTGAGTTGTTGCAGAAACACTCTAAACTGATCTTCGTCTCCTTAGCACCCCAAATTAAAAGGTTAGAATATAGAAATAGAAAGAGATAGACTAACTGTCCTTTAATTATGGGTATAGGTCATTAAATGTGTTTATGGAGGCTTAACCTATAAAAAAATTCTGACTTATGTGAGTTGTTGCAGAAACACTCTAAACTGATCTTCGTCTCCTTAGCACCCCAAATTAAAAGGTTAGAATATAGAAATAGAAAGAGATAGACTAAAAACGACATTTCTTTTATCAACGACACCCGAAGGGGATATTAAATGAATGGGTATTAAAAAATTATTAAAGTGGGTCTCACGGAATCATGTTGGGTTAATTTAACTCAAGGTGTCAAAACTCACCGTTTTGACACAATACTGACCGTTTTGATAGAGAATCCCACCCGTTGATGCTCCATCATCAATCTCAGTGTCAACAGGGGGCAAAACCCTTTCGGTGGCAAACAACACCTGTCCATCAACTCCATTCCTCGCCTGCGCCACCATCTGCATTACTATACGATGCTGCATCCACAAATCTCCGTTCAATTTCAAGAAACTCTCCAAGCGAAGCCTGTTTAGCTCCACCATCCCTACAAAGCCTCCACCATCTTCACCGCCGAAGAAACACCACCAGAGCTCTTCTATTTCTCTTGGTCTTAGATTTTTCGATTATTAAGGCCAGATGATGATGTACCACTTTTGGTTTCTTTTCACACTGTAGTGAGATTTTCTTACATTCTTGCTTCTTTCACACTCAAGCAGGTTTTGTGTGGTTTAATCAACAATTATTACAGCAGGCAAAGGCTGGTACTCCATTTCTCCAGTAATGGCAATAAAAGTGACGCCCATTAGAGTACCTAAAGTGGTGCTTCTATAATGAAAGATAGATCCTGTAGACTGCATCAAAACCAGAAATTAAAAAATAAATTAAGTGAAGAAATATTTTTTCATTATAGCTACCTCAATGTCGAGTTCGGAGGAAGAAATGGACGAGTTGGTCGGAGAAGACGGTGGATTTTGGGGGAAAAAAAAGAGTTAGTGAAACAGTAACCTTTTAACAACTTGGGTTAAGTTAACTCAACATAGTTTTGTGAGATCCATTTTAATAGTTTTTCATTCCACATCCTAATAGAATGTGAATTTAGGTTGATAATAATATAAAATAGAAAATATTTGGCAAAAATTTCGATTAAAATAATTATTTAATTTATGTGTGAAGTTCGGAGAGAGTATTTTATTTATTGATAAATAGACGTATTAAATAAGAATAAATTAGCAAACTTCAAATATTTTTACTTCTAAAAAAGAAAACAAGGCAATAATTTGAAATGGATCAAAAAAGAATGTAAGATAAAAATTACGGGGCGAAAGAAGTATTTCAAAACGGTGGCCTGTAGTTGATTTGAAAATCCTAACAATACAAATTTTAGAACTCCTCCACTCATTGAGTTTTGATTATCTCCCATATTGTAAAGTGAATCAACTAAAATACAGAGATTCAAATGCCAAATGATGAAATCTCCAAAGGATTTCTAGCTCCACTAGTTGAGTTTTTTATTTTTTATTATTATTATTTTTAAAATTTTTATTTTTTCAAATATTATTATGCAATTAATTTTTCAATTTTTTAGTTGTTTTTACACTTAGAATCATTTTAAGTAACCTGTCAAATTTTCTATTATTAATTTTAATTATGTAGTTTTTAAAGTGCATTTTCTATTTTTTAATAATTAATCGAAATTTCCTGAATAATAAATTTATAGGTCGGTATTAAAAATAAATTTATAGGTTTTTTATACATGTATATTTATACAAAATAAGTGATTTGTGATTAATAATATAATCTCTAAATTATGAGGTGCAAAATAAATTATTTTTTAATTTTTATTCTCATTAATTGAGTAAAAATAATTATTTTTTATAATTAACAAATGATGAATAAATTGAATAAGCGGGAGATGAAACTTTTATAGTGGCTACACTGGACATTACTTCAAGCAGCTACATATGGCTGCATTTTTATTGGATTGTGATTTCCAAGCCATCAATGTCACAGTTTCATTTTTTTACAATTAGTATACCAAAATCTTATCTCTATCTTTAGCAAGTGGAGTCGTGGAGATTGGTTGTCCATTAGCTAGTGAATGCAATTATCATCTCCTTTGAATCGTGCTTATTTAATTTTCACGGTAGAAAAAACGAAAGAAAGACGGTTTTTAGGACGGACGAAGTAATTTATTATTATTTTTAAAAATATTTATATAAATTATTTTTAAATATTAATATTTATATACATTAATTTTTAATCATTATTTTTTTTCTATTTTTTAAAAAAATATAGTTTTATTTTGCTATTATTACGCATATTAAATTTTATATTATTTTTACATTAATCTCGTTTTTTTAAAAAATATATTTTATTTTGCTATTATACGCATATTAAATTTTATATTATTTTTAATAATTCTCGTTAATTTTTATTTATTATTTTAATTTATTTAAGATGAATATAATTAGAAAATTATATGAATAAAATTTTCCTTTAACTATCATTAATTTTCAGTTATTGTTCCAATATAATAATTGCTCATATATTATTTAAGATAGATATAATTAAAAAATTAATTGAATAAAATTGTCCTTCAATCATAATAATTACTATTTTTTTTAATTTATGTGAAAATAAAAAGTGAAATATCTTTTTGAGACGGAGGGAGTATATAAATTGTCATTAATTCTCTAATATTATTATTAATCAATTATATTCAACATAATTTAATTTAATAAATAAGTTATCATATAAAAAATAAATGCTCATACCATTAAACTTGCTTTTATTACAATATAGAGAGTGGCTTAGCAAAGAGTCCACACATTTAATTTTAAAGACTAATGGGCAATTAATTAACTATCAAAAGTCTTCCATTGCATCCAGTACTAACACAAAGATAGAGGTTGGCAGGAAAACTGTAGATGCCTTGATGGTTCAAGAGACTACTGAACGGATTTAGGGATGGAAGAGGAATTATTTTTATAATGTTAAAATATGAAATTATACTCGTTATATACTCTTTATTTTCACTTATCTAATTCGGACTTAATTAAAATTAAGGCTTTTCGCTTCTTCTTATAAATGTATTTGGTGAGGATTGAACCTAAAAGTTTTTTTCACATGCTTAGCATGCATTGCCAACCGAACTACAACCCATAAGTTGCTCAAGTTGTTTTCAATGATGCTATTTAATGAATTTCATTTTCCTTAAAAAAAGTTAATATAATATAACTAAAAATGTAAAATTTGAAAATTTTATATTTCATTTTTAAATTTATTATTTAAATATTTGATTCTATTTAGACAATAATTTAAAATATTTTATTTGGGAGATATAAAAAAGAATATATATATATATATTTCTATTAATATTCTTATTTTCTTTATGTCTGTATAATTTAATTGGATATATTTTTAAAAAATAAATTTGTAAATAGAATATACATACTTAAGCCTTTCAAGATTTTTAAATTTTTACTTTTTAAATTTTATTTTTAAAATAAAATAAACATATGTGTATGTGGGATGACGAATAACTAAAAATTTTAATTTTAAAAATATATGTAATATTTTGTTGTTATATTTATTTATCTATATATGAAGTTGAAATAGAGAGAATTTTTAGAAATATCGATTTCGCACTCTCTTTTCTTAGCATTTTATTTTATTTTTATAAATTTTAGAAATAATTATTTTGTCTTTTTACAAGATTTTGATTTGATGATTAATTTACCTGCTAACTAATTAATCAATTAATGTTTAAAGATAATTGTTAAATGTTAAAAAGTATCTTGTATATTATGTTTTTCATATATCCTTTTTCCTTTAATAAAATTTGAAGTGCATAATTCAATCACCATATATGTATAGACAATAAACCATACTATGTTTTTCACATTTCTTTAAAGTATGAAGTAATAGACTATTGAGCGTTAAGTGCATGCTTAAAATTTTGAACATAAACATGATATTCACACACATTGAACGTAGATTTTAGATTATATTGTAGAATTGTGCATATATAGATATAATGAATTTTAGAAGAATGACGATATAAATTGAATTGAAGTGTGTGTATTTATATATACATACTACTGTATATTAATTAATTATAATATTCACATTAATCTCGTATAAATTTTTTTTTAATATTATGAAAATCTATATATGACTGAATCTAATAAAAAATGAATCTAAATAACAAGTAAAAAAATGAGCAATGACAATGTCCAGTGCACATCATAAAAAGACTAGATTAGAATGTCCAACATTGTTTCTAATTCTTGTATTTTTCTCGTTTAACTATTGAAAACACAACCTGCTACTGCATCTCTTATAAAGTTGTGTTTTTCTAATGAGTAGATCCTTGAGAAGATCTAACCTATGATGATATTATGAATAAAAATGGCTATTTAAAATATTATAGGTCTTAGAAGTGGATTCCATTTGTTTATTTTTATGAGATATGATATAAAGTTGTTTGAATATAGGATTAATTGCTTAAAAAACTTTACATATTTTATTAATTAATTATTATATTAATGTTAATATCAATACAAAATTATATTTTAACATTATAAAAATAAAAATATTTAATATTTAATATTACAACGAGTATATAAAACGTGCACGTACTAAAAAAAATATATTTCTATTTTATGCTGAAAAAGAAAAAGAAATTTCTATTTTTAATTTTGAGTTCCGAAAAAAGAAAAATATCATTTTCTTTTTCCCTAGGGACCCTGCTCTGTTTGACCCTTTTAAATAAATGCTCTCTTATAACATCTTTGGGTTAAATCTCAAATTCAGTTCAAGTCTCTTTGTGGCATGGATCAAACACTCTTATACCTTCCCTTTCTTGTTTTTCTACCCATTTTTTTCATTTTTTTAAAGAAAATCTGCTTTCCACCATTAAAACAAGGTCGTCTTCCTCCAGGCCCCAGGCCATGGCCTATCTTAGGAAACATTCCTCATATTGGGAAAAAACTACATATTTCATTGACAAACATTGCCAAAGTCCATGGCCCGTTAATTTCACTCAGGCTAGGCAATCAACTTGTCATCGTTGCCTCTTCATCCAAGGCAGCTATTGAAAAAGTCATTGACAAACATTGCCAAAGTCCATGGCCCGTTAATTTCACTCAGGCTAGGCAATCAACTTGTCATCGTTGCCTCTTCATCCAAGGCAGCTATTGAAATTCTGAAATATAATGATCGTTTGCTTTCTGCTAGATCTGTACCAAAAGCAGTTCCTCGTAAGAGCCATGTTCTTGAACGCATATCTCTCGTTTGGAATCCCACATGCAATGAACAATGGAAGTCCTTCAGAGCCTTGTGTAGGACTGAACTTTTCTCTGCCAAAGCAGTTGAATCACGGGCTTCTTTGAGGGAAAATAAAATGACAGAAATGGTAGAATATCTAAGTAGCAAAGAGGGAGAAGAAGTTAATATTGGAGAAGTTGTGTTTGCTACGGTTTTTAATACAATTTCTAATCTTCTATTTTCTAAGGATCTTATTAGCTTGCAAAATCAAGGATTGAAAAGTTTTTTGTGGAAAATGATGGAGTTGGGCGCTGCTCCTAACGTTGCAGATTTTTATCCCACATTTGCAGAGTTAGATCCTCAGGGTATTAGAAGAGCAATCTCAGAGTGTCTTAAAGAAATGTTTGGAGAGCAATCTCAGAGTGTCTTAAAGAAATGTTTGGCATATGGGAAATTTATATCAAGGAAAGAAGGGAAAGACATGCAAATGCACATCATGTTTCCAGTACAGACTTCTTAGATGTGTTCCTTTCAAATGGATTGGATGATGATCAAATCAACTGGCTGGTTATGGTAAGCAAATATTTCCTTTACCAAAAAAATGGTTTGGATTTTGAATAAAAAAAAGTCCAGACAGAAATTTTCGATTCAAAATTGAGACAGAAACAGGCAAACCCTTTATGGGGACTAGGATCGAACAGGAAACAGTTGAATCATAACTTATAGTGAGTGAAATTAAAGTATAATTGTTATGTTGCAGGAATTATTCAGTGCTGGTGTGGACACTACTACCACAACTGTTGAGTGGGCAATAGCCGAGCTTCTCAAGAACAAACAAGCCATGAAAACAATTCAGCAAGAGCTCGAAAGAGATATCAATAGAAACCCAATTCAAGAATCTCAAGTTTGTCAACTTCAATATTTAAATGCATGCGTGAAGGAAACCTTGAGATTACACCCTCCTGCTCCATTGATGATTCCTCACTGCTCTACCGAGGCCTGTGAACTTATGAATTTCGTGGTGCCAAAAAATACTCGAGTATTAGTAAATGTTTGGGCAATTGGACGTGATCCCTTTATTTGGGAAGATTCAGACCTTTTTAAACCTGAAAGGTTTCTCGACTCTGGTTTAGACTTTAAAAGCCAAAACTTTGACTTCTTACCTTTTGGTTCCGGAAGAAGGATATGCCCAGGGCTACCCATGGCTACAAGGCAACTTCCATTGATTTTAGCCTCCTTAATATATTGTTTTGATTGGTCTCTTCCAAATGGTGAAGACCCTGCTCTGCTAGACATGAATGATAAGTTTATATATTGTTTTGATTGGTCTCTTCCAAATGGTGAAGACCCTGCTCTGCTAGACATGAATGATAAGTTTGGTATAACATTACAGAAGGAGCAACCTTTGCTCATTGTTCCTAAAAGAAAACTATAAAAACTATTAGTTGCATGCTTGTGCCTTATATTGTAATTTTCTTATTAGATTATATTCACTTTTTCTTTTTCATTATTGTTTTTTATCTTAATTAAGATATTTGTTGCATAAAATTTAAATAAAATTGAGCGGTTTAAATGCGATTTCAGTTTAATAATTTAAACACTTCGATAATCAAAAGGCAATAATTATAAATTTTAAAATCGAAATGGGTCTTGTACCCAAAAGGGTAGGTTATAAGGATGCTCATGATAATTTATGCATATAATTTTGGGGATTTACTTAGAAAATTAGTTAGTTAAAGTTCATTTTGAAAAGAATAATTTAGTTATGTTTTGCTCTCCCTGGGTGTAAAAGTGCAGGCATTAATTGTTTTGATCATACAAAAGCAAAAGTAAGAGGCATTATCGACATTTCAGCATGCCTAAAGCAAGGTAAAAAATACAGAGGATTCTGATGGCCAGTCTGTAGGCTATGCTTTGAATTAACTTTAAGTGTTTTTTTTTTTTTTTCTGTAGGCTATGCTTTGAATTAACTTTAAGTGTTTTTTTTTTTTTTTAAAGTTTTTGTTTTATGTTTATCTTAGTAAGGTTTTGGATCTATTTACTCCATGAGTTGAGTTCAAACTTGACTTTCTCTTAATGAGTTGAACTCAAACTTAAATTTCAAAATTCAAGTTCGAGCTGATAATCAACTCTGCCCGACTCATTTCAAAATTTAAGTTTTTTTTGAAGTTTTTGTTTTATGTTTATCTTGAATTAACTTTAACATTTTTTATTAAATGTTTTGAGATCTGTTTCAACTGACTTTATAGGTGTTGCGAGATTGTTTTTCTTTTAAATTAATAATTATTGCATTTTTTTTTTTGTTTAATTTGAATATGTATTTATTAATAGAAAAGTAAAAAATTAGTTGTTGATTATATTTTGCTGATCTATACATAATTAAAGTTTTGAATCCATTTGCTTTTTAACGAGCTGAATTCAAATTTAATTTTTTCTTAATGAGTTGAATTTAAACTTAAATTTTAAATTTTAAAATTCAAGTTCGAGCTCGTACTCAGACGTGGCCCGACTCATTTCCGGCAATTTTAAAATTCAAGTTCGAGCTCGTACTCAGACGTGGCCCGACTCATTTCCGGCACTAATATTTATTTATTAATCTTTTATTTACCAAATTCTCCACTTGCTAGCTAATGGACGTATACTTCAATTTTCACTTGCTAATTATTGCACTATGGAAAGATTGGCCCACTATGGAAAAACTTTATAATGAACTGTGATATCGATAGATTTGAATCACAGTCCAATAAAAATGTTACGAGTTGCTACTTATCACTTGTAGTCGCTACAAAATTAACTAGTTATCACTCATTCATTTTATTCTTTGGAGATTTAGGATGTGCTGTTAGGGAAGATCGGAGTAATTTTTTAGAAAATTTTTTTAAAAAATTGAAAAAAAGAGTTTTGTGTTCAAATCAGTTAATTTTTTATTTGAAAAACTAAAAAAAATAATTTTTTACTTTTTTAAAATTTAACTAATGTTTAAAAAATAGCTTTAAGTTGTTTTTCAGGTTTTCCTTTATAGTAAAAGATATGTTTCCCAACTGTTTTTCATTTTATAAAATGAAATTTTCATAATTGATGTTATAATATCTATAAATGATTTTTTCTATTAAATATTTTCATTGAATAAAAAAAATATTTAAATAACATAAAAAATTATAATAAAAAATTATATCATGCTTTTATATATAATTAATTTATATTAAAAATATGTTACATCTTTTATTTTTTAAAAAAAAAAATTTAAACCAAAATAAGAAAAATTTGATATTATTATTATAATAATAGATAATGAAATTTAAATATTTTAAAAAAAAAATTTCTAAAAGTTAGTTTATAATATTTTAATTTTTAATTATTAAAGTTATGAATAATGTTTGTGAAATTTTTAAATTAAAATATAATTTTTTAGCATTTATTATCAAATTTGATATGATTTTTCATTTTCTGTTTTTCCTAATTTTTATTTTCTAAAAAATAAGAAAATAGAAAAAAAAAGATATTTATTAAGTAAACATACCCTTGTTTTTTGGATATTTGAATCTCTGGTTATTAGTAATCCAAAATATATTTGAATCTCTGTATTTTAGTTAATCAAAATCTAAAAATTCAATTCACTTTGAGAGTGGAGGAGATGTAAAATTTGTTTGTTTTCAAAATTAACCACAAGTCACCATTTTGGAATATTAATTCTCTAAAATTTTATTTAGTTAAAAGGAAAAAAAGAGGTTATCTAAACTTTTGGAAGGATTATTTGAGTTACTAATTGACTCTGATTGTTTTTTAATTTATAAATTAATATCAACTCTATATCTATATTTATTTTTTTAAAAATAATTAATCAAACAATATATAAATATGAGAACAGCCTTGGCACAATTTTTTTTTTTAGTATTGAGAGATGGATGCGAATCTAAATATACTGTTAGATTGTATATACATTTACTATTAGATTATGTCTTGACATGCAGCTAAATACAATTTTAAAATAAGTCTACAATAAATTCAGACCACATGTGAATCGCATCCCTTTATCAGAATAGGGACTGGAACAGGCAAACCCTTTATCAGGACTAGTTTCAGATAGGAAACAGTTCAATCGCGAGACTGAATCAAAACCTATTGGACCTGATTTAAGTCTTAGTTCTATTAGGGTTTATTTTAGTAAGTGAAAATATTTAAACTAATTAATATAATTTTTATGTTGCAGGAACTATTCAGTGCTGGTGTGGACACTACTACCACAACGGTTGAGTGGGCAATGGCGGAGCTTCCAAAAATTTAGTATAAATGAGCTAAAACTTAAAATTTATCAAAATTGCTTATAGTTCTTGTCTTTAAGCTTTGTTCTAAAGAAATTGTGTTAACCAGGAACTATTCATGCTGGTGTGGACACTATAACCCACAACGTTGAGTGGCAATGGCGGGAGCTTTCAAGAGCAAACATCCATGCAACACTCAACAGAGCAAATAGCAAAAAGTTAATAGAAATCCCAATTCAAGAATCTCAAGTTCTCATACTTCCATATGTGGGAATGCATGTGCGAAGGAAAACCTTAGGTTGCACCCCACCAGTTTCCATTCCTAGTTCCTCCACCATCTACTGAGCCCTTCGAAAATTATGGATTGCAACATGTACAGAAAGATACTCGAGTAGTTAGTAAAAGTTTGGGCAATGAAGAATCCCTTTATTTGAAGATTCAAACTTTTTAAACCTGAAAGTTTCTGACTCTATGTTTAGAATTTTAAAAGTCAAAAAACTTTGACTTCTCCACCTTTTGTTAGGAAGGAGAATGTCCCTGGACTCCTATGGCTACAAGGCAAACTTCCATGATTTAGCCTCTTTAATTACATTGTTTGACGGTCCTCTACCAAATGGTGAAGATCCTACTCTCTAGACATGAACATAAGTTTGGCATAACATTACATAAGGCAGCAACCTTTGCTCATTCTTCTATTAAAAGAAAATTAATAAAATTACGTTGACAATGCATTTTTAGTTTTTTTATTTTTAAATACAATGGTTGTGTTTTTAGCTAAATTAAATTGATGATTTATTATATCTCAGATTGAAATAGACTGATGCAAATGCTTTTTTTGTTCCAAACTTTAAACTACAAATGCATTTTATTGAATTTATTTAATTAGTGATGCTTGTACCTTTTTTGTTTGGATTATATATTTTCATTTTTTTTCATTATTGGTTTTTTTTTCAATTTATTAAGGTATTTTATTGCATAAAAATTTTTAAAATTATAAATGTTTGAAATTAAACGCATTCCTCAGAATTCAAAAATTTTGGCAATTTTAATGACTAAAAGAAATAATTTCTATGCAAATCTGTTAAATGAGAAGTAGTCTCATAAACTCAAAAAGTTCTGAAAATACTGTATAATATAAAAAAGAAAAACCAACAATTACATATGAGTTTGGATTAAAGATAAAAAAGCACCAAGCATGAAAAAAAATGCATGTAAGAGGCAAAAGAATTGGTCTGCAAATTATCATTTTTTTTAGGAACAATGAACAAAGGTTGCTCCCTTCTGTAAGTTATGCCAAACTTATCATCAGTCTAGCAAGCAGGTCTTCACCTTGGGGAAGAGACCCAATCAAATGATTATTAAAGAGGCTAAAATTCATTGGAAGTCCTTATAGTCCATAGTAGTCTGGCATATTCTCCTTCCTGAACCAAAAGGAAGAAAGTCAAAAGTTTTGACTTTAAAGTCTAACCAGATGAAGAAACCTTCAGTTTAAATATTCGAATCTTCCCAAATAATGGGATCACGTGCAATTGCCCAAACATTTACTAATACTCGAGTATTTTTGGCACCACGAAATTCATAAAAAGTTTTCACCCCAGGGCCTCAGCTAGCGCAAGTGAGAAGCAAAAAATGGAGCAGGAGGGTGTAATCTCAAGGTTTCCGTTCACCACATGCCTTAAATATAAAGTGAGGAAACTTTGAAGAATTCTTGATGAATTGGGGTTTCTATTAATTTCTGTTTCTAGCTCCCTGCTGAAGTTTTCATGGCTGTTTTTCTCAAAAGCTCAGCTATTGCCCACTCAACTGTTGTGGTAGTAGTGTCCACACCAGCACTGCATTAATTCCTGCAAACCATTAAAAATTATATAATTAGTTTAAATATTTTCACTTACTTAAAATAAACCCTAATAAGAAACTAAGACTTAAATCAGGTCCCAATAGGTTTTGATTTCAGTCTCGCGATTGAACGTTTCCTGTCTAAAGACTAGTGTCCCTTGATAAAGGTTGCCTTGTTCCAGTCCCTAGTCTGTTATATCCCTTTTTACTACGCATACCTTTTCTCTTTCTTTTCATTTGTGACCAGAACCGACTTTATTTAAAGCCAATGATTTGTTCGTATGATTGTCAAAAAATCTAGGGAAAGACCGAAATCTAACGATGCCCCTTGATTTCTGGTCCGGTACGATCGAAAATTCTGGACCCAATCTTGTAGACTTTTTTTTATTCGAAAGATGCTGGCATTTGCAAA